AGCCCTGCCATTACACTTGGAGCATCTCCAAATTCACTCTTTGCAGGAAGAGTAGCCAATGAAGCCAATTTACTTATTGACTACCACGTTACAAATACAGCCGCGCAGGAAAAGGGCCCCAAAAGCAGTCCTGCGCGCTTGCCTTGGGTCCTCTGCAAGGCAGGGGAGGAGATGGGGAACCGCTGACCCACCATGCCGCCACCGGTTACCCGGCCTTAAAATACACTTAATGACATCAACCCTTCTCTTCCCAGGAAGATTCACTGATCTGGCCCAGCTCCTGTGACCGCGCAGTTTTCCCCTTCCCTGCTGCCCAAAGCACCTTGAGGAGGTCGAAGACGTCATCTGCATCAAGGCGGTAGTCACAGAGGCGGTGCAGGATCTCAACCCGGGTGCGCAGGGGCAGCTCCTGGAAGGTAGACTCCCTCAGGGGGTTGGGTTTCCCTTCCTCCAGCTCCCAGCGATAGTTGATGATGTCCTCCAGGTAGCTGTGAAATGTCTGGGATCTAACCAAGGAAACAAAGTCCCACACGCTCACTGTAGTTCACTGTGCCAGAAACACTTGGTGCAACCAAGCAACTCGAGCAAACATGGTACAGAGACAGCTAACACTTGAAGGAAAACCATGCCCCGTGACAGCTACAGTTAGATACAGCTCTGTAACTCAGGTTCCCAAAACACAGCAATCTCATTGCAACACCATGGGATTTCGCATTATATACATACAGCTTACAGGACTCTGCATCACTGTTATTTCTTTCCAAGATGAAAGAACAAACTAAATATGATGCTAACTCAGCCTCATCCCCTTTCTATCCCAATATATCCCTATAGCAATATCTCTATAGCAGCGCCTTACGCTAGCACCAACATCAACCCTTTACTAAAATAGCATGCAACGAAGCCAATGAGTTTGATCCCTTTCTGCCTCTCCCCATTTCATGTGGAGACCCTCTTCTTCAGCTTTCCATTTGTTCCTCACATCTGCCATTGCCCTGCTCCTCTCTCTGCCTCTTAAGTAGTTTTCCATGCCCTGGTTCATTGGCTCGAAACTTTCCGTAACTGATCATCTCCTCCTCGTTTTGCTGCTGTATGCTTCCTATACTCCTGTTGTGGCCCCCATTCTCCTCTTCCTCCATCCCCAAAGGTGTTGCCATTTTCTGCCTGTTCCTCCACCAGTGGCTCTGGTGGGACATCTGCACAGCCTGGTTAATGCGCGTGGCTTGGACCCTGCCACACAACAAGGCTCATTCCCAACATGAGCATATCTCCCAAACAGGGCTCAGCCCAGAGGACTCTCTCCTCTCTAGTCTCTCAGATGATCAAACTGAACACTTGAGCTCTTCATAAGCACGGCTACTAAAATGATCTTTCTCATTTGTTAGCTGGGCCACATTAAATCCCCCTTTTGTTGCCAGCAGTTCAACATATAACCCAAGGAAACACATGTTCCTTACCCTCATCTGGCGTTGAGGTGTGTGTCCCCATCTGACATGCAATAGACTGCTGATGGAGCAGAAGGCTAAAAGAACTCCTGTCTGTATTTTAAGGACACTTAAGTCCTTATTCTGACTGCTGAAAATTTCAGGGGAGGGAATGAAAAAGGGCTGGTGAGGCCTTGTGTCCCTAAATATAAAACTTCCTTAAGATCCGTCCATATCACTTTGAGTCCTGAGACTTGCCAGGCTCTCTCAGCCTGCTCAAGTTGTGTACCCTGAGCACAGCAAAAGGGGACCCCCCCCATGCCCCAGCCATTCTTGCACACACGGGAAGTCCATATGCCGGCAAGAACACCACTGGGTACACATTCCCACCAGCTCTCAAAAAGGCAGCTCAACTTGATAGGTTTTTGGCACAAACGGATTACTCTATATGATTAATGGAACTGTGCCAACACTACAGAATTGCATTTGCCTGAGAAATTGCTAACTACTACAAAAGCTATTATTTTTGAACAAAGAGATAGAGGAGCACGATCCAACTGGAATAAGATTGTTAAAAGTTGACAAGAAGTTAGCTATTAGGCAGGGGGCTTCACACATTTGTTAAAGACTGGACTTCTTTGCAAGGACCATGACTGGACGGTGACTTCAAGAGCAAAGGAACAGATGCCACATGATTCCTCAAGCCATGTCCACCTGGCAGCATTCCCCTTCTTCCTCGAATGGAGAGAAGTTGATGCTACCACCCTGCAGATCACTCCCCACCAGCAGCCTGCTTCTTTCTGACGTCAAATGCAAGCTGACCTCCCAGAGATAACTCCTCTCACCGGATGAGTTTTACCAGCTCTCCGGTTGTATTTAACAACAGATGCCTGGATCTTAGTGCCTTCTGCAGCCTGGAGTTTGCTCTTTTCTGCATAACACAAGCAAAGCATCGGTATTTCCAAGTGTCATTGTTTTGCCCCACTAATATCAGCAATCACACAAATGCAACTTGAAACAGTCCCCTACGCGCAGAAAGTTCAGTCAATACATTAAAGAACTGTTTAATGAAATGATTTCTGTGCTGTCTCAAGTACTAATTTAAGGGTAAAAACTACAGCAACTATCATTTTTTAAAATTAAATATCCAGCGCACAGTAAGCCTACCTGAAGTAGCTGTGCATTCCCACAGTGCCTTCCTCATATACCTCAAGACCCAATCCAATTCCTAGCAAGGAGTTTAACTTGGCAAAAAGTGTGATACTAGATTATCTTTATAGTCTTTTTATCTTTAAGAGTGGTGTTTGATTACACACAGCTCAACTATTAGATATTTACTAAAGCCTTTGGATTACAACAACAAAAAAAAAAAGACAGACAGATCTGACTCTAGCTTTCAAGAACACAAACAGTGATGAGAATATCTTTTCCTGAAAGCAGGAAAGCAACACCTGTATTTGGATGCTTGGTCCGTGATAAAGGGGGAATGGCTGTAAGCTCTCAGAGAGCATCTGAGTTCAGTTGTTCAGGTCTGTCAGAGCTCATGGCAGAAGATAAATCTCATCAGCTCTGATATAGAGGCTCTGGCTTTTTCCAATAAAATTGACTGAAAAAACAGTTCCCCTAGGATCCTGAAAAACTAGTGGGTGACATGGGATGCCAGGAAGAAGCAACAAAAGTAGCAGGGCTTTATCTGCTCCTGTTTTTCTGGCTAAATTTTTTTATACGAAGAAAAAGGGAAAGGCATGGATCAGACAGATACTTTTATCCCTTGCATCAGTTCCCTTATTTTGCTCTACCATTTTGGCTACTATCAAAGAAAACTGATCCAGGAAGCCCCTCAAATCCAGAAGATCATCTGAAATCTTTGCCCATATAAGTCTCATTCCCCCTGGGGACTGGCTTTGTTGGCTTAAGCAATTTGGTTTGAGTTTGACTTTCACGTAAGTGGCTATAACACTAGAAATCTCCGCCACCCACCGGTGTCCGATACATTACAAGCTCTGTTCTCAAGAGTACTTTGAGTTCCTACCCCCATCAATTTTCAAAGACAGCTACTGTGCATTTGTCGCTTTGAATAAGGATAGAAATGAGAACCAGAGATGGGAACCAGATGTCTCAAGGCATTCCCAATCACTCTCAATCTTACCCAATCTATATTTTCCCTCTTCATGGGGGCTGGCCTCTTTTCTCCAGACAAATGTGGGGTGCTCGCCTTCAACCCATCTGCCACACCTACAGTTAGTCTCACTTAAATTTCCCTTTCAAAAAGGTTTCTGAAACATTCCCCCTGGTTTGGAGAAGAAAACTGCAGAGAGCACAGCAATCTGTGAGAGCTCTGCCCTTGGGGTTCTTCCCCGTGCAAAGCAGAAATGCTGGGGACTAATTGTTTAGCATTATCCATAAAATTCAAAACCAAGAATCAGACAGACAGGGTCCAGGAGTGGAATGACCTGGGTGCAGTCTGTCAAACAGCCTTTTTTCAAGCTCACAAATAGGACAGTGATACATCTGCAGGTTTGGCAAGTCCTACAGAGTCTCTGCTGCAGCTGAGAACCTCTGAAAACCCTTTTGTAGGTGGGAAGAAAGCAGGGAAGAGATCACTGAGATAAGGAGACTGATGTAGCTCTTCTCTTGAGGTTCTCCGCACCACCAAGACTTGTAACAACACTCAACCAACAGAGGCAATATTAAGTCAGCAATGTCCTTTTCTCTACAAATCGGAATATTACCAAGGAGAATGGACTGGTACATGGACACATTCTGTTTCAGGGCACATATCCAAAGGAAAATCAACTCTCACTTGAAAGCAAATCAGGACTCCTAGGAACAATTTTTTAAAAAGTGTGAGATCGTGAGTCTCAATGCTTGTCACCGTATCTCGACCACTTCTACTTCCCCCTGCCGCACAGCAAAAGCGTCTTCTGTACAGCTCATCAGCCAAGGAAAACAATTACAGAAATCACCTTCAAGAGGTCAGAAAAGTTACCTTAGAGTTCTCTGTAACTGTACAACTTCAGCCTTCCCACCGTCTTTCTCCCCATCTCAACTTTGCCAGCACCATCAATATTTCAGAAAACTCAGATAAAGTTGCCCTCACTTGTCACAGCATCCCTTACTTTGCAGTTGCCACCTGATGTGCAAAGCAATCTGGATATCTGTAGTGGTGAAGTCACTGAACAGTACACGCATATCGCTGTGATACATCCCAAATGGATGCAGGTGATTTCTCGTGAGCCCAGTGCAATTCTAGTCTTGTCCCTGGCCATGCTCTGAAACCACAGGGTTGTTGTCAGAGGTCCCTACCTTTTTTCCCAATGATTAGAAAGGAGGTCAAAGCTGAATCACACCTGTGGTTGAAGTTTTAATCATACATTGTGTACCTCTACATATGCAAAAGGAAACCAGGGGCTCAGGGAAGGGCGTGACCTAGCACATCAGTGTTGAAGGGGAGGAATAACAGCAGACAATCCACAAGAGTACCAGTGAGGTTGCAGCTCAAGTTGCCTCTGATCTTTAGTAGCAGCTGCAAAAAAATTAGGGCATAAAGAAGACGGGAGCAAGTCGAAGGAAGGGCTCCTCCCCAACATGGGTATCAGCGTCCAGAACAGTCAGAGAAATGATACACCCCCTGAGAGCTCAGCGCCGCAGCTCGGCCATCTGCCGCCCGGCTGCCTCCCAAAGAGGGAGGTTTCTCTGTGCTCCAGGAGAGGGGAGCTGAGGACTCCTCCCCCCGCCTGGCGATCCCAATTTGACAGTCTGCCTCTGCGGTGGCTTCCCCTGCTCGCAGAAGAGGCACTCTTCCCATCACCTGGGGTTTTAATGCACGGGGCCACACTGCTGTTGGAAAAAGAAGCTTCGCCAGCGTGCAAAGCGAGCCCCCATCCTGCTGCTTGTCACCATGCCCAGCTTCCCAGAGGGGCTCCTTTGGAGACCTCTGGAAGAGAGAGTGAAAATTTTGCAGGGTTGATGGGATATACGGAAAAATTTGGTTGGAGCTTCTGGTGCGCACGCTTGGGAGGGGGACAGCTGCACCTAGAGACCCCAACCCCACAGGCACCCCGTAGGGCAAACTCAATGTG